GATTAAGAACAAGATAAGGCTGCCCACTCTTGCCACTTTTATTCAACACAGTATTGGAGGTCATAACAAGAGCAGTTAGGCAAGAGAAAGAAATACAAGGTATCCAAATTGGAAAGGAAAAAGTAAAAATGTCTGTTTGCAGACTGATATAATATTACAAAAAGAAAACCTTAAAAACTTAATCGGAAAACTGTTAGAATTAATAAATATATTCAGAAAGTGGTAGGGCACAAAATAAATATACAAAAATCTGTCGCATTTGTATACATTAATAATGAACTGTCAGAAAGAGAAATTAAGAAAACAGTTCTACTTCCAATTGTGTCAAAAATAAAATACTTAAAAAAGGAATAAACTTAACCAAGAAGGTGAAATACCTATACTCTGAAAACTATGAGAGACTGATGAAATAGATTAAAGACACAAATAAACAGAAAGATATTCCATGTTCATATACTGGAATAATTAATGTTGTTAAAACATCCATACTACCCAAAGCAATCTACAGATTCAATGCAATCCCTATCAAAATTTCAATGGCATTTTTCACTGAAATAGAACAAATAATCCAAAAATTTTTATCGAACCACAAAATATCCCAAATAGCCAAGGTAATCTTGACAAAGTAGTAGCTAAAACTATCATATTCACTGATTTCAAACTATATTACAAGGTTGTCGTAAACAAAATCATATGCTATTGGCTTAAAAACAGACACACAGATCAGCAGAACAGAACAGAATGCACAGAAATAAACACAAATACTAATTATATCAATTAATTCTATCAATTTATATATCATTGTATATTCTTGGCAAAGGAGCCTTAAGAATATACAATGGGGAAAAGATAGTCTCCTCATAAATGGTTTTGGAGAAACTGGACAGCTAGATGCAGAAGAATGAAATGGGATCACCATCTTCGAACATATACAAAAATTAACTCAAGATGGATTCAAGAATTGAACATGAGACCAGAAACCATAAACCTTCTGGAAGAAAGTATAGGTAGTAAGCTCCCTGACACCAGTTTTGGTGACTTGGGGGGGTGGGATTTGACATCAAAAGCAAAGGCAAAAACAGTCAATGGAACTACATCAAACTAAAAAACTTCTGCACCGAAGAAAAACCATCAATCAGCACACCTCCAAAAAAAAAAAACAAACCCTACAATTGATTAATAACTGGGCAGAGGGTCTGAATAGACACTTTTCCAAAGAAGATGTACAGATGGCCAATAGGTACATGAAAAGGTGCTCAGCATCACTTATCAGGAAAAAAAAAATCAAAACCACAATGAGGTATCACCAATCACTTCACACCTCTCAGAATGGCTATTATCAATAAGACTAGAAATAACAAGCGTTGATGAGGATAAGGATGACAGAGAACCTTCGCGTACTATTAATGGGAATGTAAATTGGTGTAGCCAAGCATAGAAAACAGAAAGTAGATTTCTCAAAAAATTAAAAATAGGGCTACCATATGATTCAGCAATTCCACCTGTGTATTTACCGAAAGGAAATAAAATACTTTTTTGAAAAGATATATGTACCCCCATGTTAACTGCAGCATTTTTACAATAGCCAAGATATGGAAGCAAACTGAGTGCCCACTGATGCTTAAATGGATAAATAAAATATGGTATATGACTACAATGGAATATTATTCAGCTCTGAAAAAGAAGGGATTTGTTCTATTTGTGACAACATGGATGGACCCTGAGGGCATTATGTGAAGTGAAATAAGTCAGACAAAGAAAGACAAATACTGTATGATTTCACTTACACGTGGAATCTAAAATAACAAAACAAGGCAGGAAAAAAAAAACCCAAAACCAAACTCAAAGATACAGAGAATAGATCAACCGTGTAAGAGGCAGGGGTTCACAAAATGGGTGAAAATGGTCAAAATGTACAAAATTACAGTTCTAAAATACATAAGTTCTGTGGCTGTAATGTATAGCATGATGACTATAGTTAATAATGCCATACTATATATTTGAAAGTTGCTAAGAGAGCACAGCTTAAAAGTTGTCATTATGAAAAAACAAATTTTTTTAATCATGTGTGGCAATGAATGTTAACTAGACTTATTGTGGTGATCATTTCTCAGTATGTAGAAATACTGAATGGTGTGTTCTACTCTTGAAAGTATGGTATTGTATGTCAATTATATCTCAATTTTAAAGGCTAAATTAGTGAAAAGTTTAAACAAATACTATAAAATTGGATTAAAAATTAACATTAAAAACAATGTAACATAATGTATTTGAACCTATATTTTTGTATACAACTGGCAGAATCATTCTTAAACATACTATGATTGTTAATCAAAGAACCTAATTTAAAAAAAATCCTTTAAATACACAGTGAATTATGTAAACTATATTTACAGGGGTATTTCATATTTAAGTTATTACCTAATAGTAATCTTATTGTTTTTTCTTCTTCCAGTTTTATTGAGACATAATTAACATACAGCTCTATATAAGTTTAAGCTATACAGCATAATGATTTGACTTATACACCTTATGAAATGATTACGGCAGTAGGTTTAGAGGCTGTCCATCATCCCACACAGATTCAAAATTAAGGAAATCTACAGAAAAAATTTTTTCCTTGTGACGAGCTCTTAGGATTTACTCTTTTAACAACTTTTATGTATAACATACAGCAATGTTAACTGTATTTATCAGGTTGCGTATTATATCCCTAGAAATAATTTACCTTATACCTGGAAGTTTGTACCTTCTGACTGCCTTCATCCCTCACCACCTCTCCCTGACCCTGAGACAGGAAAGGGGCAGGGCACAGCCCTTCAAGGAATGCTACAGCAATTAACATCAAATGGTAAAGATTCAGCCCCCAGAAGGCTTGAGGCTCAAGATAAGATTTAACTTCTAGCAGATCTTGAACTTCATTATATGCCCACTGTAATCTAAGCATGGTGAATAACGTGCCCACAGGCACCACGGCAGTCCCAAGGCTAGCCACAAAAGGTCAGAGTGGGAAATGGCCAACTTACTGGGAATCCCAGCCCCTGCCCCAAGCTACTTAGACTGTTTCTTCCACTTATTAGCATATGAAACCACCAAGCCCATAATAACTGGCAAGACTGTGCCTTGCGGCTGCAGCCTCTGCCTCTCTCTCCATTACAGCCAGCACTCTGTCTATGGAGTGCGTACCTACTTTTAATCTGAGCACCCAACCGCCACACCTTGTGGCCTTTTTCTTGCCTTTCATTGTATCTCTGAATAAATCTACCTTCACTCAACTGTGGCTCGCTCTTGAATTCTTTCCTGTGCGAAGCCAAGGACCCACACTTGGAGGGGCACATCCCAGGGGCTCAGCTGAGACCTGGGACACGGCCCTCCTCATGCCCCACATCTGTTTTCCTGCATCACCCCCACAAATCTAACCTCTTTTCCTGAGTTAGTGTATTTATTTGGTTTTGAAGTATAATTGACCTAAAACACTGTTAGTTCCTGTTTTACAATGCTTTAATCCTGTATTTCTATATATTTAAAAATTATCACCACAATAAGTCTAGTTATAATTGGTCACCATATGAAGATATTACATAGTATTAACTATATTCCCCACACTGTATAGTTCATATCCAAGACTCACCTATTTTGTAACTGGAAGTTTGTACCTCAATCTCCCTCACTGAGTTCTCTCCTTACTGTTATTTTCAATTTAGTCATTCAACTGAACAAAATTATACTGAATCTTTAAAGGCTATATAATACAGAACAAGTCCAGAAAGTACACTAAAATACCATGATATAGCAAACAAGTTTTGATTATGATGATGTTTTATATTTTCTCTTTGGTCATGCAAAAAGAATGCCGTGACTTATATTTTCAAGAGGAAGCAATTTCTTTCTTCACTGAAGTCCAAAAGTGTTTATCTCTGACTCCCATATCTCTTTCTTCTATGCATTGTTGTAATTCATGTTTTGGTATCATCTCCCACAAAAAGACTACTAGTTTCTTGATAGCAGGCAGGCTCCTTACTGACAACAGGCATACCTTGGAGATATTTGGGTTTATTCCAGATGACCACAATAAAGCGAATATTGCAATAAAGCAAGTCACATGAATTTTTGGTTCCCAGTGCATATAAAAGTTGTGCTTACATTACATTGTAGTCAGTTAAGTGTGCAATAGCATGACATCTGAAAAAATAACGTACATGCCTTAATTGAAAATACTTTATTATGAAGACATACAGATGGCCAATAGGCATATGAAAGATGCCCAGTATTGCTAATTATCAGAGAAATGCAAATCAAAACTACAATGAGGTATCACCACATACTGGCCAGAATGGCCATTATTAAAAAGTCCACAAATGATAAACGCTAGAGAGGGTGTGGAAAAAAGGGAACCCTCCTACACTGTTGGTGGGAATGTAACTTGGTACAACCACTATGGAAAACAGTAGGGAAGTTCCTTAAAAAATCAAGCATAGACTTACTGTATGATCCAGCAATCCTGCTCCTGGGCATACATGCAGAGAAAAACCAATTCAAAAAAGATACATGCACCCCTATGTTCATAGCAGCATTATTTACAATAGCCAAAACATGGCAACAACCAAAATGTCCACTGACAGATGATTGGATAAAGAAGTTTTAGTATGTGTGTGTATGTATACACACACACACAATGAACTACTACTCAGCCATAAAAAAATAAAATAATGCCATTTGCAACAACATGGATGGGCCTAGAGATTACCACGCTAAGTGAAGTAAGCCAGAAAAAGGCAAATACCATATATCACTTATATGTGGATTCTGAAAAAAAAAAAAAAAAAAAAAAAGGACACAAGTGAACTTATTTACAAATTAGAGACTAGACACAGAAAATAAACTTATGGTTATGGGGGGAAAGTGGGGGGAGGGAGGGATAAATTGGGAGTTTGAGATTTACAGATAATATTATACACAAAATAAACAAGATCCTACTGTATAGCACAGGGAACTATATTCAGTATGTTACAGTAACTTGTAATGAAAAGAATATGAAAAAGTATATATCTATGTGTGTGTATAGCTAAACCACTACGCTGTACACCAGAGACTAACAACATCGTAAATTGGCTATATTCCAATAAAAAATACTTTTGCTAAAATGTGCTAACTTACCATCTGAGCATTCAGCAGGTTATAACAGTAACATCAAAGATCATTCACTGATCAGGGGTCACCTTAATAAATATAATAGTAATGAATCCCAAGTTTGAAATATTCAAGAATTACCAAAATGGGACACAGAGACAAGAAGTGACCAAATGCTGTTGGAAAAATAGTGTCAATAGACTTACTCAACACGGCTTGCCACAAATACACCATCTGCTAAGTGTACGAAAGTGAAGCACAATAAAATGCAGTGTATTTCCTTCTCTCAGTGCCCAGCGAAGGGACGGCAGTGATCAAAATTACTAAACGATGAGACTTTATAAAGTGGAGTACCAACCAACAAGGCATGAATAATCACTTATTTGAATTAATGCCACTTGAGAAATATGTAATATGAGACATATCTAAATAGATTCTGAAACAGTAGGCAGCATTTTTAGGAAGGTAATAGTAGTAACACTGAATTTCACAAATCCATTTTTAAGATTGTCTGATTGGATTAATTTAGATTGTTATTTAGTTTCTCTTTTTTTCCCCTTCAATATTATCTTTTCTGTTATCCTTTTTTGGTATTGCATCTTTAAACACTATTTTGTTATAAGAAAAAACTTTTTAGATACACACACATTTCTGAACTTTCTTGCATATGATAAACAGTTTAAAGATTGGATACGTCATTTAACTCATAAATGGTCTTATGCTTCTGTGTTTACCTGTTCACATATGGCATTCACAATAAAAATTTTCATGGTTTATATAAAAGGGTGGAATAACTGATTTTAAATAGGCCAAAGTTATTAAAAATAACTGAAGGAAAATGAAATTCTCCAGATCATAAAATAAAACATTACATAATGTTAAACTCTTCCTTTGACTTTGTTTATGGAAATTCTGACTTGGTGGCAGTGCACCATAATTTTCAGTCTCAATATTCCAAAGATATTTTAGAGTGATTTATTTTACAAAATTAGAAGAAATTGGATTTCAGACTTTTATGCTGACCCACTCTTCAACTGCTAATGAAATCATTTCCCTTCGTATTTGGATTCCCTTGTAACCTTATCATTTACTACATGAAGGTGAGATTACCCAGTCGTATTCTTCATGACTTCCTGCAGGTTTTCTGGCCTGTCACCTTTAGATCATCATCTTGGTTAACGGGAGTTATATGAGATCATAGGCTCCCAGGGTGTAATAAAAGTTAATGAGGAGGAGGATGAATTTAAACCAACTTGAACTCCTTTTGGGGAAATTTTTTTCTCTATCTTTCCCTTTAAAATAGTACTTCTTTTCTAGAGGTGTATAGCTATTTTTCATTCCTTGTGGAGGAAAAATTGTCTTTGAACTGTTGTATAATGGTGAAATGTTTATCTATAGTTAAAATGTAAAATAAAAGAAAAAAGAAAAAAGAAAAAACCCCAAAACTTCAACAAAGACAACAGAAAATACCCCTCAGAAGTATAAAAATTGACAAGAGAAACTATGTGAAAGTGAGTCAGAAACAAAACAGCATACAATACTTTAAATATATATGAGAAGGTAATAACCTGGCAAAAATAAGTGACAATACTAAAGGGCAAAAAGACATGTTAATGCAGAAACTCTTGATGTTGCCAAGGATCTGAATGATGCTTTTGATCTCAGTATTTACTGGAGAAACTAAAAGGTCACGCAATACTTGCAGACTGTATGATAAATCTGCCTGAAGACAGGTATATAAATAATAAAATATATTTTAGTAGAAACTGATTTTTAAGACTTCCAAAAAACATTTGGGAGAAAAGCATTTTTGCATATTTTAAAGTCAATTCTTTGGATTCTTTGGCAGTATCTTTATGTGTTTCTAATTTTGGCCTCAATTATTTTTCCTCACTATGTATGCAATTAAAAATTGAGAGGGTATTTTCACTGTGATGCTAGAAAACTAGTCTGTGATCTAACCTGTCTGTAGGGAAATTCATTATTTCCCATAAAACTGCCCTAAGTGTACCAAAAATAAGTGTGTGACATACTTGAGAAAGTAAGGAAAGCAAAGGCTGTAACTGCTTATGGTAAGCTACAGAAACCTGACACATATTCAAATTATCTGCAAACATTTTATTCTAACTGGGTAAACCTTCCTAAATGAAATTATTTGCTCTTAAAGTCAATTTGCAGCATGGTCTTCCAAGTTTATTTACAGACTAAACACGTGAAGAAACAACCCCATGTTTTCTAATATATATTCTTGTTTAATGTAAAGAAAAATTGAAGGCAAACTGTAAAATATCTTTAAGTTACTTATCTATTTTTTTTGTTACTTTTAACATTACTATGCATACTAGAGGGACCTTCCCCTTCCACTCTCCTTCCTTTGTACCTTTCTCTCTGTATAAATATATATGTATAAACATATATAAATAGAAATATATGTGTGTACATGTACATTCATGTCTATGATGAAGTACAATTAAGGCACTAACATATTCATAAATAGAGCATAGGGATAGTAGTTCAGTTAAACACATACATGTGAGAAACTGAAGGACTTTCCCATGTTCTCTTGCTACTTATAAATTTGGTATGATGTTAATACTTTTATTGTACTTCATTATAAAAATCATTTAACTACTTAAAATTATGTTTCTTCAAATGTTAAATATTATGAATAGTGCCCTGATGAATATACTTGTGCAAACAACTTTGAGCTCCACTTTGTTCATTTCATGGCATATATAGATGCATTTGATGTTATACAATGGCATAATTACTCACTTTAGAACTAATGCACTATAACAAATTATTCACTTACTGAATAAATTTTAGTAAACACAAATATATTCCACGTATTGTTCTAGAAGCAAAGATACAACAATAAAAAAAAAGAAAAAACTCCTCTGTGTTCATGGATCTTATTGCAGAGAGGGAGATAGACAAAAAAAATAGTGTAAAAATATATAGTATATTAGATCTTCAGTTTTCTATAAAGCAAAATAAAGCAGAAAAGAATAGTGATGGAGGAGGGCAATTTACCAGTAAAAAGTTAATGCTTGAGGCATAAACGATACAAGAAAATGTGTCATGCAGTTACCTGGGAAAAGGGAATTTCAGCATCAGGGGTAACAAATGCAAATGCTCTGAACCAGCAGTGAAATACAGCAAGGAAACCAACGTGATGGGACTAGGAAATGACGGGAGAGTGTCGGAAGATAACCTTAGAGAGGTAGTGGGATTGCAGATCATGTAGGGCCTTATAGGCTGTCAAGACTTCATACTTTATTTTGAGTGATACTAGAGACCTTGGAAATGGTAAAACCTCCAACTTTTTAACAGGGTATCTCCGGCAACTAAGATGAAAAATCAACAGAAGAGGACCAAGAGCTGCATCAGGTTTTAAAAGAATTTGCAATATCCCAGGTGAGAGGGGACTGTGATTTGAGATAGTGGTAGTGGAGGCAGCAAGAAGAGATAAGAGTCTAGTTCTATTTTAAATGTTTAGCCAATAAAATATTTTGAAGGACTGGAAGTCAAAAATAAGTAAAGAAAAGTGTTTTAGATGCCTTCACAATTTGACCTGAGCAATCAGAAAAATGGAACAATCATGAATTAATATGGAGAGATGTTGGAAAATGCAGGCATGGGGCTAAGATCAGAACACAGTTCTGAAAATGGTGAATTAGAGATGCAACTGGGGTTTGGATGCAACTGGAATTTAAGATGAAAATGGTGAGGAGATATTGAGTGGTCACTTAAGTACAAGTTTAAGGTTCGTAGGCAAGGTCAAGGGAGATGTGATTTTGGGATTCACCAGTGATGGTTTTTAATGCCTTAAGATTTGATGAAATCATCAAGAGATTAAATGACAGAGAAGAGAAAAGACTCAAGATTGGAAACCTGGAGGCACTAGAAATAAAAGCTTGAGGAGGTAAGTGGGAATAAGCAAAGGTAATTAAACAAAGGGATTCAGTAAAGGCAAAAGGAAACTTGAGGAAAACGGTAGTATTATAAAAACCTCATAAAATGTTTCGGGAAGTAAGAATGATCAGAGTCTTTAAATTCTACCCATAAAGCAAGATGAGATTTAAAATATAGTTGCATGAAAATGATTCAGCAATTTTTTGACTAAATTTTTCATCATTCACTAAGGTATGTCTAAAGGAATAATACATTTGTTAGTGTAGAATTATTTTAAAATAAAGTTTAAAATTTATAAGTAACCTTTTAATATGCAGAAGAAAATAAATGTCAATCATTTTTAAATAATAGGTTAAAAAGTCAGTATCTGTCACTTTGACTTAAAAATATATTTTATCTTGGTTCTTAGCAATAATGTCTAATAAAATCTTGTTTTATGTTTAAATAGCAAATATTAACACAGTATTTTAAAAATATGGTCTCAATAGCACAGTTGTGTTATGTGGATGTACAAATTATCTTCTTGGATGCATTATATGAACTATGGAATTTGAAGTAGCCCAATATATTAACATATGAATGAAATTCCCAGCCTAGCAAAACAAAACCTAAACTATGGAGATCACCACATTTTAATCAATACAAGTCTCCAATTTGAAATAAAGTTTCTGACTGTTTTGATCATGAAAGAACTATAGCTATTTTATGGTTACTTCACAATCTGACTCTAACACACATCTCCAGCTTCATCTCCCTTAATCTCTCTGCCTGGTCCATCCACATTTTACATTAAGCTTCTTGTCTTCTGAGCATAAACTCTTTCATAAGTCCATTTAAAAAGAAAATCTCCTTTTGTCTAACACTATTCCAGCTAGCTTAAAAAAAAAAAAAGCAACCTATCCATCCTATTCATCACCTTCTCCCATTTCCTCAAAAAATTCTTGAACACATTTTCACTTATCTCTCCAACAGATTCCTATTCCTGTTTCATCTTCATTGTCAACACTATGAACTCCCTTCCTGGCTTACATAGTTCAGACCCTTTTCCTCTGCCTTCAATGTCTTAGGTTTCATTGTTTTTTGTCCTTATTTTGTTGATTGACAACTTGTCCCCTGCCCTCTACTATGCGGAACACATGTTCTGTAGAGGGCATGGAGGGCTCAGCTCAGATGCTAGGTTAAAGTTATGTTTCTGCATGAACTTTATACATGTAATTCATGAGATCTTGGTGTATTACACTGGTTTTGTTGAAGGCCTCATTTGAGGTACCCTTGTAGTCTCTTCTTGGATTCATGTCTATCTTATGTTATTTCCCCCACCATGATATATGGTTGGATTGCCCTTTAGTGACTTACAAATGAAGCAAGCACTGAGCAAAACTATCAAATATAGTATTAAAGGAAAACATGTATTGTAATGCAATGCTCCACTCTGTTCTGTTAGTGGGTCAGCGCACCCATCCTCCAGTTGCTGTAAGTGTAGTTGTTCACAGCTAACGGCAGCCCTTCTTTTACAATGGAGGGGTGATTGGACTTGGCTAATTGAAGTTGCTTTGTCAGGAAAGTTACATGCTCCCTCCTCCCATGACTGACACTGAAGTACAAAGATCCAACACCTTTGTTTTTTGACTTAATGAAGGACAACTCCACTGGTTGAGTAATGCACCAAGGGACACTCCCTCTACTCCTGTATTTCCAAACTCTACAACATGTACATGTACAGAGTAGTAATATGTAACAGCAGAAAAACAAGGTCTAAAATAATACGTATGTTATGAGACCATTTTGTAAAAGAAAGAATACAAGCATTATATGTCTGTAAATACAGATTATCTCTAGAAGTACACACAGGAAGAAAACGTATTACACTTTTATTTAAGTGTTTGATATATCATGGGAAAAATATAAGGAAGAAACTTTATTCTCTTTTAAATGTTATACCATGTGCATGCATTACTTATTCAAAAGTTTTATTGGTTGTTTTAATTTTCAAAAGTGATTGCTTTTTTCAGCAGCTGCTTTCAATCTGTGTGGAAGGCTAGTCACTTAGGAATCAGAGATAATGTCACAAAAAATCAAATTGTGATCTCCTTTGGTCTAAGACAAATAAAGGCATTTGGGAAAAACAATGCTGGCTACAAATAGGTCTTACGATGGGTTAGAAATCATCAGATCAACATACTGGGAAGGTCAGATGTGGTTCTGCCTGTTGGGTGGCACTCTAGACACCTGGACACTACTTCTTTTATAAATGTGGGACATTGGAACTTATCTACTCAGTGGAACAAGCTTCAAAATTCAGGGCAGAGCTGTTAGTTTGGCAAACAGCTGACCAATGAATTACATATATGTATTTTATGGATTATTGTATTTTTATTGAATAGATCATACTTATGCTTGTATATTGTGAAAAATAACTTTCAAATAAAGAAAATATATAAGAAAGATTGGAGGGAGGAGAGATACATTAGATAAAGTGGAAAATGTTAAACTTTAATCCCATATTGAATTATAAGCAAAATTAATTCAATATATATTAAAAAATAAAGATTGTCCAAGTGATCCAGTCAGCATCTATTAAGATTTCCAGAACATTTACTAAAATCTAAATTTAGCTATCTTGGAAAGCCAACAAAGTATGCAACAACCTGTATTATATATATGTATGCATATTCATTTTGCTTTGTTGTATCTTTACTTTTAAAAGTACAGTCCAAGCCCTGATGTCCACCGTGTCATTGAACAATGGAGCTGAGATTAGTATGTATGAGAAATGTCACCTAGATAGGGATTTGGAAAGTAACTTTTAGATACGAGGTTAAACATTATAAAAATATAGTGCTTTAACCTTAAACATTCTGAGAATACTGATCATTTAGACACTTTCTGTGATAAATATTATATACTGTGTTATCTATTCACATTGGTTTCATAGAATAGTGGCTCTGAATATATCAATGGCCCCCATCTCAAATATTTTGTTAAAATAGCTTTTAACTTTTTAACATTCATTTATACGGCTTTAATTTACAAGTATGTTTTACGTGCCAAATATGTGCCTGGCTCTCTGTTGAGGCATATAAATGTACAAAATGTTTTTAACAAAAGAGCTTCATAATCTGGAGGGGAATGAGACATATGAATATAAAGCAGCATTAAGAGGTCATTTTTCTTGATAAAGTACATAAAAATTTTGCATGTACTTAGAGATTGTAAGAGATGTAATTAGGAGCCCTGATTACTGCTATTTTATACAGAATGTTAGTAGTATATTTTATTTATTAACTTTTTTTAGTATTAGTGTATTTTAAGATATAATTTTAAGAAAAAATTTTGCCTAGCTAAAAAAATTCACAGTATAAAACATAAATATGTTTTGAAACCACAGTTTTTGCATCAAGATTTGACAGCATTTTTTATTACATGTTCCATGCTATTATAGACAGAGGCAGGTATTATTTTATATAGGAGAATAAAAACTACAAGCACAATCTTTAGTGAAAATGAAGAGAACTAAAAATCACAAGACACAAATGCAGCAGCATAGCTGCCAGAACAGAGGAGATAAAACAAGACAAATGGAGGTGGAAGCAGAGAGAGGATTTCTGGACTAGGATTGCAGGAAAAGGCTGGAATAGTACCACCGTCAAAAGTGAGGGACATCCTATGTTTGCAACAGATGTGGCTATTGTCTCTAGGAGATTTTCTGAATACTATTCCTGCCTAAGATGAAGCAGAGATGGACCTAAATTAAATCCATATACAGTTCATAGGGCAAATCTTTCCCTGCAGTTGAGGAAAAAAGACTGAATTTTGAACAGCCCCACAGCTATATAATTCAGGTAACTGGGTCCAGGTTGAGGGGAGTGAGAGCTAAATGCATTCTGTAGGCTTACACGACAAAACTCCTGGGCGTAACGACAATGCTTATCAATGTCATCTAACTTGAAAAACAGCCCCCTTCTTAACACACATACACATCCCTTAAACACACACATAGAATTCTCTTACAGCCAGTCCTCGAAAATAGTCAACTATTGCAAAGAATATAAATAATCTAAAAAGGAGTCAGGATAAGACCTATACTAATATACTAGAAAGGAGAAAGAACGAGAGGGAAGAAAGGAAGGAGGAAGAAAGAAAGGGTGGGTGGGTAGGCTGGAACAGGGAAAAACCCTCCCCAGAAAAGAATACTTAGCAGAAAAATACTGCCGACACAGGAAGCCTGAAAAAAGGCATCACTAAAACTTTAAAATAAAGAGCAATAATGTATTGGCCTGTATTGGGCTAGAGTACAAAGTAGAAATACCCGACAAGGAAGAAATATTGAGGTAACAGTAAGAGATGTATGAAGTGACAAGTCAAAGCAGTGGGGGAAAAAAACTTTTAAAAATCAGAAAAATTTGGAAACACACAAAGCAGTCATGAACTTCTGTAGTCACTGGAAATTAATTCCAGGGAGAATAAAAACTTTAAAAATAAAGTAAAATGATACGAGAAAAAGCAAGCATGAAAACGCTTAATAGGATAATTATAGACAAAAGCAAATAAAATCTACTATATACATAACTGGCCTCTCCAAATGAAGTAAAAATATTATAAATATGCAGTAAAAATAATAAAATGAAGTAAAATAATATGAAGTAAAAATAATTATAAATATAATTTAGTAAAACTTTCCAAATATAAGATGACAGACATATCTTCAGATAGAAAGGATATACTGTGTCCAAAGGAAAAATAAAGTACATTCAACATCAATACATACAGTAATAAGTTAGTAGGCTTCAAAAGTTTAAAAAATCCAATTAAAATCTAGCCATATTTTATGACACAGGACTTAAGAGGCTTCAAAAACCCAGAGATGTATTTAAGGAATATTTTGGACCTCTTTCTGTTGGCACTATTAGAGCCTACATCCACACTGATTTGGGATGATCATCATTAAGAAATGAACATAAAAGCGTCTCATTTACCATTTCACTACAACACGCAGTGTCTGATTAGGCGTTCAATAAACATTTGCTGAAGTAGCACTCAATAAACAGTTTGGTTAATTAATTTACTCTAAGTGAATTGGATTATATTAGTCCTACTTTTGTCTGGTAATGGTCAAAACATATGTACCTGCTTTTAATCTATAAAACAGAATGTCTGCGATTCAATGAATTGTTGGGTAATACTGCCAGGAACTTTACCATCCATCTAATCAAAACACCAAGAAGTATAAATATTTTACATACGGATATACATGAAATACTTTTTAACTTATAATCTTACATTTACTTTTTAATTGGGTAAAATCATTTGATTGCCTTACACATGCACTAAATTTGGCCCATTGTAGGGCTTATAGAAGTTTAGTTTGATATTGATGCCCTAAGTCTTTAGTTAAGGGTGTTCTAAGAAAGAGCCCTTTAATTGATAATAAAACCATAGAGTCCATTGCTTAGGGAAACAAGGTAAAATTTCTTAGGTCTTTTATTAGGGCATAATGTATAAACCTAAGTGCAAAATAAATTGAACAGAGACAGTTTAAAGATTGTTGGATACTGACAGAGATCTTCAAGAGCAGACAGAATTGGAACTAAGGCTTCAGGAAGGAATGCATGTCAACCTATGCTTCCCAAGGACGAAGTCTTTTTATGCACAACAGTTTGCAGTTAAGAGTAGTTCCACTTCTGATTGTAGGCTGTTTGTCTAATTTAGAGCAACAAACGATGAAATGTCTGGACATTAATGTCTGTGAGCTTGGGGTCCTACTGGGATGCCTACTAAGGCTCCTTGTAATAGCTCCAAAAAGCAATCTCTGCTTCCTTTGTCAGTGTTGTTTGTTGCAGTTGCAACTTTGTCCACAGTCTTACATTTCCATCCATGTGGACAAAAGACAACCCCCCTAATTTATAGTTTGTACCCTCTGAATCTAGTTATGCTGGACATATGTCATAAACCTAGCATTCTAAACTTTTTCTATTTTTTTCTCTTCTCTCTTTCTCTGTATGTGCATCTCTGCCTCTCTCATCTCACCTCTGATTCTGTCTCTGTCCTCCACTGGAGTTAATAGAATACTGTCACAAACAGTATATAGTCTAATATATACCATCTTTGTGGTTTGAGATTCAACCAACTTTTTACAGTTAAATGTCAGTAACAATAGCTTCATGTTTAGGGATTTTGCAGGATGTTAAGATTTCTGCTGGGCAGATCAACTTCCCACCAAGCAAGCACTACAGTGTGTTAGGGTTTGCAAGTTTTAGAAAATAATGGGGGTTGTTAATAAACAGTGCTCTAAGGGCTGAGAGCTGAGGACACCAACTGACTGAGCAGGCAGTGATTTATGGGTATATGTGAAGACAATAATGCTTCAGCCTTTTCAGGCTTCTTTAACTATACAGTATACTATATTTATTCCACATATTTTCAAATGCTTAATTATATGATTACCCAATAGCCATTTGGACCTCATGGAAGAAATCATACATATGTATTAATCTCCTTTGAATTATTTCTTTTTAGTTAAAAAACAAATCCCAAGGAGTTAAATGAGACCATAGAAATGTAGAAACACAAATTGAAAGAGTCAGTACTGACATGTCCTGTATTTTAAACTTTCACAGAGAAACAACAAGATTGAATAAGTAAACTACTCTAATAACCCTTTGAATTACACATTGATGCCACCTTAAAGCCCCGAAGTACAGACTCTAATATGTTAGTAAAACAAAAGTGAAAATGATTGCATGTCACACTGTGATAGGTATTATATGAAGGAAATTAACCATTAAATTGGGGAGAGGGGTGATACTTATGAGTAAAAAAACACAAAAACAAAAGAAATTTAAAAAAATGAGAAATGGGAGACAAAGCCAGGAAAGAGCTAAAAGTTAAGTTGGAGTTTATGGACTTTAAAAATGAAAAAGAAGAACAGATTAACTTTAGGCTCATGTGACAACATAAGCAAGGGAGGGCTTTATGGTGACTTAAGGATTGTAAGTAGAACAAGGTGGTTAAATATAAAGGTTGCAGAAGGAAAACTACAATTAATTACATGAAGCTAAATTGGAGCAAATTATGAAGGGCTGTACCAGCTATGTAAATATGCTTTGTTGTACTTGCTGCAGAAAATGAAATATTAAATGGCTTAATTTTAAGAGAAATTAATAAAATTAACATTAAGAGAAGTGGTATTTAAGTTACTATTTTTTAATGAGTAGCAATAATATACTCCTGTTTAGTTAACTGAATATATTATTAATGAAATCTTATATAAAACAAAAAAAGCATTCCAGCATCTCTAGTCTTTCAACTGGTTTCCCTGCCCCCATTCTTGCTTTTAAATTCATCCTTCAGAATTCGGTTATAAAAATCTTCCTGAACTAAAATATTTCATATGATCTTTCAAAAAAAAAAAAAAAAAGGACTTCAATGGCCTGTATTTGCTCCCACAAAGAAGAACATATTACTTTAAAAACGTAGATTATAAAGTTAATTACAATCTCAAACATCAGTTCGACCTGCTACTTCATTCCACAATGCTGCCCTGTGTCTGAATTCCAACTCTACATACCACTTCTTAGTATTTTTAATTCATTCTTCATTTTCCTGATCTTTGCCTAAAATACATCACACCATCTTTACTTTGCCATATTCAATCATCATAAACATTTTTAACCCCCTCGCCCAAATTTTGACCCCCAGATGAGGAAATTTAGGAAAACAGAATTTAGTAACTTACCAAAATCACAAAACTGAGGATCAGGATCAGAGCCTGAGGAATTTAGAGCTCACACCTGTGCTATGAGAGGAGGTTTCCAGGGTATTCTCTGAAGGGCGTCCCACTGAAGTAAGTGTAATTGGAAAACACTCCACCTTGACCTGAAGTAGGAAGATAGTAATGTACACTTATTAAAACTGAATTCTGCCCAATGCTTCATTTGTTTGTATTTGTCACTTACAAATACAAGTATGTAAAATTGATTGCAGTGTTCTTCTACACTAAACTTATTTCAATCTGTTCTAAAACCTGTGTTTTTATATCACCATGCCTCATTCTTACCGTAAACTGTCTTTGGGCTAATGGTTTTGACCCATAATAACTGATAAAAGACTTGCAAGTGATAGTACTGGACTTGTTGTGAAGAAATAAAGAGTGTCATGCTAGATATTAAAGTGTAAGATTTACAATGTTAGAACACTTTCAAGGAAATGTTCAAGGTAACAGAATAGTTATCTGCTGGTAAGAAGGGTTTGGTAGATAGGCTTTGCTGTTATGGAGGGATTATAAATAGTCACTGCAGTCAGGAGGTTGAGCAAAAATTGCATGAAGATTAGCCTGGCCAAAATCAAAGCATTGCCCTGATTTCAGAAGCTATGGGGAGAGAAGAGATTTTTACATAAGATGTGCTCTCTTAATACATAAAAATTTAAAGAAAAAACACTGTTTGATAGTCACACTTTTTTTTTTCAGTGAGAACCCCTTAACTACTGTAACATTTATGATTACCAAAAACGAAGTAACATACCATAGAAGCACCTCAAAAGCTAAAAAATAGGGCTTATGGTTTCTAGTAAGGCATGTAATAAGCTTGGAAATTGTCACTCTGTCCTAACAAGTAAAAAGCTAAACTATCAACAACTTACATCCTAAGAAAAGTAAGCAAAACGTACCACTCCAAACTGGAGAGACTGTTGGGTGAATACGGAGAGAATTCTAACTTACCCAAGCAGATATTCACAGCTGAAACCTTTATGGAAACCAGTGCTGGGGTAGAAAAACCTGAACTGCAATTGATGAATTTTTTGAGACTCTGTGTGGACAACTCTCAGAATTGAAAACTCAGGGCGGGCCAAGCCATAGCAGGGGGGACCCATCCATCCGTGAGTTGTACCTCTGGCAGTTTTACCAGGTTATCAAAAGGATTAGTGGTGAAATATTCCCTCACGATTCCAAGACGACGACAAAAAGGAACCATTTTGAAATTTGCTAGCGCATGTTGTTCTTAACAAAGTATGTATG